GAGGCGGTTGAGCAGGATTCAGGCAATCACCTTGCCCACACAACTCAACAAGTTGATGCCACGATAATTCGTGCAACATTGCTTGTTCCCTTTGCCCCTGTACCGTGGTAGCACAAGAGCATCGTTCAGCTCAGGAGGCACTTCCTCCTCAATCCACACGCGTTGCGCGAAGTGGTGCAGAGCATTCACCAACGCGAGCCCGGCGTGTTTCAATACTTCAGACGGGATCCCGTCGGCACAAGCACACTTGCCATTTTACAGCTGAGCAAGTGCTCTCTGCGTCTCATCCAGTGTCGGCGTGTCCGTCAGACTCGTCAGCACATCGTGCTGCTTGAGGCCGTTCAATGTAGGCCAATCAATCTCTGAACGGCTGTTCAGAGTGATTTTGTTAGATCTGCTTTATTTCTGCTGTCTGTGTGTAGGTAGCGCCTGAACTACCATCGATCAGCGTCCTCAGCGGCTCCAACCTCAGTCTATACACCGCCTTCAAGGAGCCAAAGAATTCCTTGTGTTGGCGGCGTTCGGCGTAGCATTCCATCTGCTTCGCCTTCTCTGTCCACCATACATTTTAATTCGACAGAGCTCTCGAGTCAGTCGCCGATGAATTTTGCGAAACTGACTTTTCTTCCCAGATCACTGCTGTCTGCCACATATGCAGCAAATGCTGCATTCTTCTCAGGCACCAGTGCACCAATCGTCGCACTGTCCTCGTCAAACCAATCAAGCCGCTTACCTTTTGCGCGCCCGATGGTCTCCTCGGCATCAGCTCTCATCTGGTCGCGAATGTGGTCCCTCAGGTCGCTCACTGTGGCCATGCAATCCACATTACACAGGAGTGCAGCCATCGCTTTCTCCAGTTCAGTACACTTCGCCACAGTACCGAGGGAGAGAATGTTAAATTTACGCCGATTCACGGCGGGAGTGCAAAACATAGATTTACAAAAATATATGTACAGTTTGGTTAGTACCACACTCAGCTCCACGCAGTGCACGTGTCATGCGCCCTTCACACATATCACGCTGACATACGATGACATAGTCTAGCAGGTGAGCGTGACCACTCCGTGGGTGCGTCCAAGTTTCTATATCTCTCGCACTCCGTGCAAACCGAGTGTTCGTGATCGTCAGGCCGTGAGTGACACACATTGAGAGCAGCCTGTCACAGTTCGCATTCGCTGAACCAATGCCATGCGGACCGATGACATTTGTCCACACCGATGTATCACGCCCGACGCGCGCGTTGAAATCACCCAGCAGATATAGTCGGTCGCTCCTCGGCACAGACCGTAGCACTGAGGAGAGCTGAGTGTAGAATTGATCCCTCGTGTCATCAGGATAACACAGGGTCGGACCGTACGTGCTTATAAAGGTGGCAAACTTACCTCTTCCGAGTCGTAGGCAAACAGTCAACAGTCGCGCGCTGATGCCAGTCGGCTCACCCACTAGCAAGACATTTAGGAGACCAAACAGTACAAATTCGCTCACATGTTCACATAGTGCTGTGGTGGTGTTGCTCACCCAGTAGAATGTGTGGCGAGCACCTGCTTCATACAACTTACCTTGCTCAGCGAACCGGGTCTCACTGAGCGCCGCAATATCGATGTAGCACGGCAGTTCCATCGCGACCAGTGCAGTGAGTCGTTTGTGGTGCCCACTTGAGCTCCGATCCAGTAGTGTGCGCATGTTCCAGCACCCGGTGTTGAGTGCTTTGTGCGCAGGCACACGATTGCATTGGTGGACAATCACACTAGTGCCGGGGGTTGTGCTTCAGAGTTTTGCTTGAGGGACTCAACCAGGGGCCTTTGGCTCAATGTCTTGATCCACAAGACGGTGAGTGGTTTAGTTTGCTTGTGGGCCTCCGCCCGGAACATTTGGCACAATAGTCTTACCCAAAAGACAGTGGGGAGCAGATCCAGCTCGGGAATGTGATTGCAGAGACAGAATGGGATCTGCTTAAGGTCCGTCACACTCAGCCTTTGGATTTCTTTAACAATTCATGAGTTTTGCGACTGTAGTAAGATGTGCGCCTGCGACCACGGTCAGAAGCAGGTGGGTTTTGGCGGGTTCGAGTCAATTAGATCAAGGGTGCCTGGCTTGAGGCAAGCAGTAGCAAACCATTGAACACCCGGAGGTGCCCTCCTACTGTCAGAGACAATGCGTGGCGCTCGTGCTCTACGCCAATCGAACTGTGAGCTTAGAACCCGTGGATCTGTTGTATCCCATAGCTAGGTTTAATGGGAAGAGGGCCATCGACTACTTCCTAACCTCCGAAGAGGATGGACTAGGATACTGGCAGGGCGCCCACACCTGACAGTAGAACGACTCGGGTCCTTAGCCAAAGTTTTGATTAAATGTACACCCGAAATGCAGCGGGTCTAGCACATGGTCACTTCACTGACTCATACGGATTGGTGTCCTGGCTCTTAGCTAAGAGAATGTCGTAATCCAACTCCCACCCAGCGGTCGCCACGAGGAGGCTTCCAGGACATGAGACTATGGCACGACAGTAGCAGCGGTAGGTAGACCATCTGTCAGGATCTAGCAACCACAAGCCTCAGTGCACCATAGGCTCTCCCGCCTCTGAGTATATATACAAATATATATCCTCTTCAATATTCTCTGGATATTATCGGTTCTCTTCACTTATGGGACCATTGATCGTTGCTGGAGCGACATACGTTGCTTCAGCGCCCCAGAATTTGATAACGGTTTTGGGCTGCACTAAAAGACTAACTCGCACTTGCCCAACCATACGCATTTTTGTCCTCGATGCTGCTACCTATTACAGTTAGGAATGAACTGCTAATTCAAAATGTAATTCCGTATTTATATTTACATTTAACCAAACGCCCACCAAAACGGCTAACTAGGCTTATTCTGACTGTATTCTACTTGGTTGTTGCTCCTTGCGATACAGTTAATCCCCGCTTTAATGCTTGTTTGAACTTCTTCGCGCACAGAAAAAGGAATAATCGTATGATGTGACGTCCAGAAAGAAGGAAAGGTACCGTATTCCTTTCTATCCCACATACTATCTGGTCATGGTTAAATGGAACTATAATTTTTACTGATAAAGGACGTTGTGGTTCAAGCATACCCAGAGGAAATTAACGATAAAGTATCACCCTACCATATTGTCTGACATTATAGAGATGTAGTGAGAAAGTACTTTTTCAACCCCACGTAGTAGAGCCGCGTTCAAGTCACATCACACTTTCAAGTCTGTTCACTAACCAATCTATTTTGAAATATATGCGTTCAAGTTCACGTGCTTGATCTCATCATGTGAATACTTGAACCATTTTTGTGCATGCATAACACAGATTGATACTGACATCTGGGGATCTCAGAGTTTTCCCTAGGTCTCTGAATGGTCACGCTAATTAGAATACCCAATCTGATTAACATATAGAATTAAAGGCCATAAGTTTTTTGAACACGTCATCCTGCAAAACCCGCTTCCGTTGTTGAAATGAAATAGAAATCTATTTTCCTCCTCTTTACGACAAGAGGGTTTCCATAAATCATCAAATCAGTATGTGCAGCTGGTATGTTCCTTTATTTACGAAATATGTAGGATTTGACGGGGAATTATTGAATAAGCTTTGTAACTGCCTTGTGTTTTCACCCAATCACGGTGCGTGAAATTTCCAACGTTTTGATCAAGGTTAGTGATTACCATGCAACAGAATAACGAGGTGTTTTTCTTGTGACATAGTCATATTGTATTGCTGCGCTTTCAACATTTGAATGATCCTCCCAAACACACGTGTTTGCCAAGATACATCATAGCTACGGGGATGATGTGTCTCTTTACTGATGATGTGCCTGATCAGTGGTTGACTTTCGACAGCTATACTTGATGCAGCCTCCTCGTGGTCACTTCTTGCGTCCAAATCCATGTATTCACCTTGTAGCGTGATTAACATTAATCACGAGCTGGATCCCACTTCGCATGATTTTATCGTGATCGAGTTAGGGAAGCGAGCTTCAACTATAATAGATAAACCAATTCACGAAGGGTAGCAGAGTGTCAGAGAATAATGTGTGATCCCAGACTGCTTACCCACGTCCATTGTACCAATCCAAGTGGGCGATTCCCAAGCGCCTCGCAACAATATTTGTACAGCCAGTGGTAATTGACCGAGCACAGCAGTAGAATGCAATTAATGGCCAATCAGAACAGAGTCAACTGATAGTCGTATACGTTTACATAAGGAAAAAAGTGGTGGCTGGACATATCCATCCTTGGATTTGTCTTCCACCGTCTCTTGCTACGTAATTGCCATCATTCCTGGACTGATGATGCTATCTCCAATGGCGATGAAACTTCTTCAACCAAGTTGCTCGGATCGGTGAACAGCATGACGACCAAACAAGCCTTCCCAGCTACCAGTATTTCAAGTAATTTCTATTACTCTGACAGTTGTTGTTGAGCTTATAACAACCTATACTTTCATTGTTCGCACCATAAGGGTTGAATGAGTAATGCAGTATCAAAAACCATAGTCTACTGGAAATGGCCACTTCCTTTATTTTCGTTAGTTTCAATCGAACACTTATGTCCACTGAGCATTGTTAATTCGCCTTCATATGCTGGTAGTTTGATTGTTCCGATTCAACTCTCTGCTTGAGACGCACATTGGACTTATTCCCTTAGTTGTTTTAAGCCTCTCCTATGTATCGGAAGCAATCTTGTCATCACGGATTCTTTCAAATATCCTTATCAACACCATACAGCGCCATTCTGGCTAATCCGCTGGCCAATCAACCAGAAACCAACGTACCCGGATGCCCGCAACTCAAGGATTCAACTCCATCTGTTTGTTTAATGGTAAAATCATACGTCGCAAAATGGATAGCTTTGTATAAGCAAACCTTCGCATATATCTCTGCGATTCTTTAGGCTGCATCAACCCGAGCTTTGTTTTAAATGATCCGATTATTTTAGACATTTTCAATTTGTTCCTAGGCATTTACAAATGGTTTACTTTTTCTAGTTTACTCCAGAAAGCGCCGTCATGCCTCGATCACGTTGGATTCATCTCAAAGTGAATTTTATGAGATGGACAGCAGATTGAATGACTCGGAGCTTTCACCGTCCGTTTGGGATTCTGATATGTCTCCAGCAGCCTCGAGGCCAGCTCCAAATCTCTTCAGAAGAATCCCTAAAGAAGTGAGTTATGTTCATGCGCATAACCTTAGTATCTAATCACTTACGAGGATTTGCTTTTCCTTGGTGTCACTCTAAGAAATTATCTTCATTATGGGGTTAGCAGTTGAGTACTCCAGCCTCCATTGTTTCTGGTGACACCTCGAATGTTGATCCATCTTGCAACGTTATGCGTTGCAAGTTAGAAAACAGCGAACACACTTAACAACTTACTCACATTCGTATAACCTGGCGTCGGTGAAAGATCCTGGGGTAAGAGGTTGTCTAGCAGTGATTTTACGAAAACTGGCAGAATTGCACATTCTCATCAATTGAATTTCTAGATGGAGTTGTAATGGATGGTTAACATATCAAGACTAAGGCACTGTACCTGGGCTTACTTTGTTCCCGATTCATATAAACGATGTGCCTCAGCTTCTCCATTCGCCTTGTGCATTGTTTGCAGATGATTGGAGTGTGTGAAGGGTAATCAGTGCGCCTGATGACTATGATATGCTTCGACATGACTTGACTACCTCTCCATGTGGTCTGCAGAGGTCAACCTCCCGCTGAACCCGGTCAAGTTGCCATTCGTGAGCCTGGGTAAGGGTGGGCTCGGTGGAACTTACACTGTGGCCGGTCAACCGTTGCATCCCACGACTTTCGCGAAAGACCTTGGTGTACTCTCGCACTGTGACTCAAAGCCCGTGGACAACACCAATATGCTTTACCAAAACGGTCTTGGTATGATTTGGGCCCTCAAGCGCAACTTGAGCACTTGGTCCGAAGAGGTTGCCACTCGTCTCTCTCAACTATCCGACCAATCCTAGAGCATGGTTCATCTACTTGCTGCCCTATCACCGAGGGCGAGGTACAAATGATTGAGCAGGTAGAGCATATGGCGACTAGGTTCCTCCCCACTTTACGAGGTGTGCCCTACAAAAACGGCAAAAGAGACTAGGACTTATGGCCGGTCGCGGGTTGACCTCATCATGACGCACCTGATAGTACATCTTGGTGATTACCCCATGTCGAGAGTGCTGCTCCATATGCGCACACGAAGCAGCATGTAAAAAGTCGGTCCTTCAGGGACAAAAGGCATATTCAGCAAACAACAGGACCAGGCGAAAACGTAGGCGGAGGGCGAGTGAAACATATCGGTATATACAGCTAGTTGGATCCATAATTAACGACCCTTGTGAATGCATGACTTTTTCCTTCGACTCAGTCAAACAAACTCACTCCAATGCGTCCGACTGTTGGCCAATCAGCGTGCCTGCTAGAAACGTGTGAACGTCCAATCGACTGCCGCCTTTCCTTGCGGCAGCCTAACGGCTTCCTTGCTGGGCTGGCACCGCACGTTCGTTCGAGTGTATACTCCCATCACATCCTCCCTTTTTTCATGTTCTTGCTGCTGTACTTTGCTAAATCGTCCATACACTTTACCATTCCGCGTCCTCTTTGTTGGATCTGCCGATGTCGCCTCATTGCCGCACGCAGTATAACGCTCTCTCCCTGATTCATGCTGTCGCCTCGGACATCTCCACAGCTGCACTCGGTTTCTTCTCAGCTTCTTCCCTCCAACATTTACTTCGTATGACCTTTTACCGACTTTCTCAGCCACGACTCCTTTTCTCCACCGCTCCTGTCCATCGGGAATTGGTTCAACCCATACTTCTTCACCCACTGTCAGCTCAGGTAATTCCCGTGCGCCGTTGTTGTAGTACCGTTTCTGAGTAGCCATTCGCCCTTTCAAACTGTTCTGTACTTTCTCAAGTTGTGGCGTGACAGGGCGCAGAAGTGTTGCGGATGCAGGCATCACAGTTCTGCTCCTTCGACTGTATAGGCGCTGCACTGGGCTCAGGCCGATATCCGTTGAAGGAGTGTTGCGACTCTCCATTAGCATGAGGTATGGGTCCTCCCGAGTGTCTCTAGCCTTCGCTACTAGTCGCTTGGCTTGCTTCACTGCCGACTCTGCCTTCCCATTTGATTGACTGTGATAGGGACTGGTTTGCCGGTGTGAGAATTCCCATTTGACTGCGAAAACCTGGAATGCCCGGCTGCTGAACTGGGGACCGTTGTCCGAGACTAGCTCCTCCGGTATCCCGTGCCGTGCGAATTGACATCTGAGTTTGTTGATTACTGCCTCCGTGGTCGTGGTGGTGAGTAAATCGATTTCAAAGTAATCACTATAGTAGTCCACCGTGAGTAAGTAATCCTTTCCGTTGTCCCAGAATAGATCCACTGCTACCTTTTGCCACGGTCGGTCCGGAACATCATGCAGCATCATCGGTTCCTTCGTTTGCCGAATGTCGTGTGAACGACAGGCCTCACAGTTAGACACATGATCCTTGATCTGACCTGTCATTCCTGGCCAGAACATCAGTTCTCTTGCTCGATTAATGGTGTAATTTGCACCCAGGTGAGCGCGATGGACATGCTCCAGCATCCCCTTTCGGAGAGAAGAAGGGATTAGGATTCGACTTCCCTTGAACAACAGACCGTCACAGACAGTGAGTTCGTCCCAAAAATTGAAGTAAGGTGTTAATTCCTTCGGGAGCTGCTTCTTTGTTTCCGGCCACCCATTGAGGATAACATCTCGCAAAGATGCAAAAGTTTGGTCTTCCTCCGTGAAACGCCTTATGTTTTTCAAACGGTTTTCTGTCACTGCCAGGTGCTGCACCATGCTAACTGTCTCGATCTCTTCTAGATTATGTTCGGCCACTGGCGGATGTGCTCTCGACAGGGTGTCCGCGATGAACATCTGTGTGCCAGGTGTGTACACAATGTCAATGCCATACTTTTGGAGCCGGATAAGCATACGCTGCAGACGACGAGGAACGTTATTCAGTGGTTTAGTGGCTATCGACACCAGCGGCTTATGATCAGTGTGCACGGTTGTCTTTCTTCGAAAAGTATAATCATTGAAACGCTCCATAGCATAGACCACTGCCAGCATCTCTTTCTCGATCTGTGCGTACCGCTTCTCTGCCTCCGTGAGTGCTCGACTGCGGAAATCCAAAGGTCTTCCGTTCTGCAATAGAACAGCACCTATTCCACTCTGCCTACTATCACACTGTACCTCCAATGGTTGTGCTGGATCGTAATATCCGCATTACTGATAAGGTTCTTAATGGTTGCGAAAGCAAAATCCTGTTCCTTCCCCCAGCTCCAATTTACTCCTTTGTGAGTTAACTGCCTAATCGGAGTCATGACATCAGCGAGTCCTGGTAGGAACCGGATTAAATTATTCACCATACCGTTTAGGCGATGGACTGCCTTCACATCGTTAGGGGACGGCATCTCTTGTATCGCCTTAATCTTCCCTGGGTCAACCCTGATTCCGTCGGATGTTAACACATGCCCATGGAAAATCACCTCCTCTTTCCGCGGCTCTACTTTCTCGCATTTTAGCTTGATGTTCTTTTGCACGCAACGCCTCAGGAACCGGTGTAGCTTAGTGTCATGCTCTTCTTCGGTAGAACCGTAAATCAGAACGTCATCTGCCACACAGGTTACGCCATCTAAATCATCTATTGCTTGCACCAAACGCTTTTGGAAAATTTCGCTATACACCTTCAGGCCAAACGGTAATCGCAGCCAACGATAACGTCCGAACAGTGTAGCAAATGTGGTGAGGAAACTGGATTCGTCGTCTAGAACAACGTGCCAGAATGCGGAAGAAAGGTCTACTTTCGTGAAAAACTTAGCTTTTGTCAAACGCGGTAAAACATCTTCTAACGTCGGTAGCGCATAATGTTCTCTACGCAGGGCCTCATTCAGTGGCTTCGGGTCTATACATACGCGTAGTTCGCCATTTTTCTTCGTAATGATTGCGACCTGGCTAACCCAGTCTGTTGGCTCATCAACATTTGCAATCACACCCTGCATAACCAGTTTGTTCAATTCCGCGGAAAATCGGTCACGTAGCGCAAATGGGACTCTCCTAGCAGGTAACGCAATCGGGCGTACCAAAGGATCTAACGACAGGTGAGCAGTACCCTCGAATTCCCCTAAACCCGGGCTAAACACAGACGGATACAGGTCACTAACATCGGCTTCACTCTTACAAGCGTACACAAAACGATCATGATTAAAAATGACAAAGCCAAGAGATAAAATCGAATCAATGCCGAGAATCGGCGTGAGATCCTCATCCACGATCACGAACTGCAGACGATGCGAAACACCGTCTCTCGCATTGACCACTTCAATTGTCGCTGAACCCTTTGGCTTGAGTCTGGAACCATTCCACATGCGCAAATAATCTTGATCCGATTGAATTTGCACGCCGCGGCAGTGCTTTCTGGGCAAAATATTGATCGTCGCGCCTGTGTCTAACTGGAATAGTACAGACCGTCCCCCGATCAGAAGACTTGCATAGACACACTTCTGCGACGTTTTCCGAGACACATTACCAATCGAATGTTCGGTGTCTTCTGTTGCTTTGTCTGGAACGAGTGCACTGACATCTGTGGACTGACAGCAGCGGGCGAAGTGATTGCGCTTCCCACATTTGACACAAATGCGGCCCCACGCCGGACACTGTTCGCGGTTCCTGGGATGTCGCGTTGCACAGAAGTTGCAGGGCTCCTGTCGCGCGGTCGTGGCCCTCGTAGTTTTGCTCCTGGAAACGGCGCACAATTCTGAATCACCTGCGATTGTCATCTGTTGGAACTGGTAGGCAGTGGCGGACTCACTGTTACAGATGTCGATACATTGCTGCGGAGATAGGTTGCGCTTTCGTAATAGTCGCTTCGTCAAACCTTCGTCATTGATCCCAAGAACAATGCGGTCCCGTATGAGACTGTCCACCATGCATTTACAGAAACTGCAGGACCGGGCCAAAATCTTTAGCTCAGTGACGTACGTGTCAACGGATTCACCTGGCCGCCTGTTCCGCGAAAAGAAGAGGTAGCGTTGAAATGTCTCGTTTGTTTGGCCTTCGCAGTATTCACTGAACTTCTCAAGAACTGTCTCCCGATTGTTAGCATCTTCGCTCTTGTCGTAACACAATGTCTCTA